CGAGCTGTATTTCGTAGCGCAACAGGTGGAAGATAAGCGGATGTAATCTAACTTTCGATTATTACTTATTATGTTCGTTATGCTAATTCTTTCTTTGTAATTATAAATATAACTTCTTGGTTAGGGGAAGTCATAAAATTTTTGAAAATATTTTTCCCTGAAAGATTACTTTCCGTTTACTTATATATAATCTTATTCGACAGGCCCGCCTTTCTTCTCTGCGTCGATTCGATTGTCGGTTCAGCCGCGCACCTCGTCGTGACCGCGGGAACGAAGAATACGGTGTGTTCGCGGACGACGTCTGTTTCGCAAGCGTACTAATTTGATCCACGAGCCGTGCGTTCCCGAGGCAAGATGAAAGTACCACGACGGTGATCCCTTGCGAAGTTAGAATCCTTATTACCTCGGGAACCTCCGCAGTGCCTCGAGAGTCACACGCAAGTGGGGTACACGTGCATGTGTATCGCGGATGGCGAGAAGGGGGATGCTGAAATTCATGCACGGACCGGCGGTCACCGACGTTCTCCACACCGCGACCTGGATCAGTTCCTATTACCGCATCCACAAGGCGTCTTGAGAAAATCCGGCTGGATCCTAGAGTCCCCTAGAATCCGTAAGAGAAATCCTTCTCGTCGCAGTGACTGTGATCCGATTCAGTGCAGGTGTGCGACGTGCTCGTCTCATCGGGATCCTGCTAGGGATCGATACTCAACGATTGATAGCGCGACGATGACAACGGTGGGTGAAGTGATGGACCTGTGTCCTCTCGCAGAATTCCTTGACCGTTCACTTGTGATTACAGCCACCAGCGTTCAATTTGAAAGTCTTAAATAATTTTAATCCCTTTGCCTATATTCATTAGAATGCACATTATTGAAAGATCATGACGAACGATGCTCACGATTTGATTAGATTGGAAGCTAACTTCACCGTGTCTTCGCGCCAATTTAAAATATTACAAAAATTATAGAATTTTCTAATTTCAGAACGTTCAGGTCCGATTTTTAATTTTCTGGTTAACTTTAATTATTAGATTTAACTTGATGATGTAAAAATTGTATTGTTCTAACGATGGTTTTAATCAGAACTTATTAATCTCTAAACTGATGGTTTTGTAATAAAAAGTAACTTTTAAGGTTATCATTATAAAACCATCAGTTTATAATGATTAATTATAATTAGGAAAACACGAGTTTTATATTATCATCAAATTAAATAAATTTAAGTCTAAATCGCCAAGTGAAACAGATTGGAAAGCTGGGTCTTAGAATAGATTCAGATGTGGAATTTGTATTTTGATGTTTAATCTAATATTAAAATTTGAAATTTTAGTGAATTATTAGTTATAAGTTATTAGTTATAAAATGCACCGAATATATTTTTATAAAGGCTTTAAAAAATGGAAATTTGAAAAAAAAAAGAAATATTTTAAATAATTTAATTTTTCTATAATGTTGTATCCAAATTAATAATAAATTCTTGATTTTCGAGTAGTAATATTTATAAAGTAATATTTATAAAATTGAAAACGATTTAAGTGTAGAAATCTATAAAATCATAAATAGAATAGAATATTTTATTCGCTTCAACGTATACGAGCCAAGAAGGGGACTTGGTTTACAATAGAAAATAAATATCTTTAATATAAAAATATACTTATCTCATGATTTATAGAGAAGAAATAAATAAAAGATGATAAAGTTGCATAAGCGACTTATCTACTTTGATTTTTACTTAAAGATAGGAAGGAACATAAATTAGTTTCACAACAATGTTCCTTTGACAGAAGAAACTTTATTGCAAAGCTAATTTGTTCCATCACTTTCTGAGACGCTATAATTACAATTCGAATCGAGTAATTACAATCCTACGCGATAAATTAATTTATCTACGGATTTAATGTATCATTAGAAAGGTAGACATGGTAAGTAGGCGTATTATATATACAGATTTATAAATTCTTATGCATGCGTGTGCGCGTGAATCAATGTAATTGCTTCATTGCGACTCGCTGTTACTTAATCAAATCGTGATGTACATCACGAGAATGGGATCGCTCTTAGTTTACAGCAATACATATATTTTTTTCCCATTCATGTGTACTATGAGTCAATACTCTTACTAGTTAGACTACATTGTGCAAAAGTAAATTAGGTTGCAAATTAATTGCAATGTCTCCATTTGAGTTTAAAACGTTTTGTACTCGATCCAACATTTATAGACTATAAATCACTTTTAAATAATGTATGAAACATTTAAAAAAGAAAGAGCGACAATCATCAAAGAATTTTTATTATATTATAATTTCTATTATATTATAATTACTCTATTATATTATAATAGAAAATTATATTGTACAAAAATAAATTAAATCGCAAACTAACTTGTCTTGATTCAAATTTAAAACATTTATTCTCGACTCCAATATCTACTCGGGAAAAAAATGTTATGTAATGGACATATTATATATATAATTATATATAAAGTATGTAAA